AATATGATGCTCTGATTGCAAAGGTGGCAAAAAAAGATGCACAACCAGGCTCAGCTAATGTCAGAAACAACACATCATCAGCTCTATGCTGTTTTTTTTTCATCACTAACTTAATTTTGAAACAGGCAGATCTTGTCTCAGTTTAATTCATCCTATTCAGGACTTCCATACCATACACAGAAGGTCTTTTGGGGTCCACTGAACCCCAAGAAAGAATGTGTGCAAAATATTTGTTGGTATTCATTATAGACTTTTATACTATGTTACATAAATTTTCTTATAAGTTCACATATTTCTGGTTCCAAATGCATGACAATCTCCCTCTTTTTTTTCTACTTAACAAAAAAAAAAAAAAAGAATACCTGTCACCTAAACCAAATGGCCTACGGTTCAAAAGTCCCAAGAGAGCCCAAAAGTCCTGAACAGGGTTAAAGAGTGATCACTGTGACAAGGTTACTGCAGCTAATATACAGTCGGATAAAAGATAGATGTTGTCTAGATTGAAAGAGAAAAAGACATGGCTAATACTGTCAGCCAAAGTGCTTGTTTTTTCTGGAAGCTAGAATCTCTTACTATGTATTCCAAAGCAGTTCTTAGATTTGGCAAGTCATGCTGTAATGTTTTGAGGATGCAGCGAGATGAATATTCAAGAAATGTAGATTCTAAATTGAGTAATTGATGCAGCTCCCATTTTGCCAGTTCAGATCATTTGGTTATTCTCAGAACAGCTATAAAAGGATGACTAAGTGTGGAACTTGGCACAAATAGCGGCCTTCATGTTCTGTTTCGTGTGTTTCTTCATGTTAGTTTATCACTGTTAATTCCTTTTGTTGGATCATGCTCAGATGAACTTTGAACCCACTGCCCACACACTAAATCACATGCAACTCAGCAGATCTATGGAGACAGGATGAGCACACGATACTGAACCCCCCTTTTGCATCAACATCAACACGGCTACAGTATAAACTTATAGTGGTTTAATAAAACAATTCTGCATTGCAAGACAAAGAAAACAACACATATTGGCACTTTATTAAAGGTCAAATTAATATTAGAATCCGCAACATTTCTCAATTTTAAAGACTCGTTTGGTGACGAGTGGTTACTGGCGCAGCATTTTAATGGTCTGACAGAACCAAGAAAAGCGTGAGTTGTTTTTAAGTGCCTGAAAGGCCTAAATGTAACAGAATTTCCATCTATGTCAGTGATGATATCTACTGTCCTCAAATGTATTCATACCCTTCCACTAAAAAAAGAGGTGAAATTCACAATAGTCACTCAAACAATTAGAAACTAAAAAAAGCAATAATAATTATTTTAAAAAGCTCAATTACAATTTCGTGAAATAAGGCATTGCTTTTGCCTTGTAGTTGAAAAAACAAACAAACAAACAAAAAAAACTTTTCCATATAAATTAGAGCACTTTGCTGATGAGCAGTGGGTCAAAATCCAAACACCTGTCCACAGGTGCAGAAGTCTGATTGAGAGTTACATAAAACACTTGATTGCAGTGATTGGCTCAAAGGGTTGTTCAACGAAATATTAATTTACGGGTCCCATCATGCTTGTTTGCTTGTTTTTTTTTTGTTTTTTTTTAAATATTTCAGTTAACCACAATTCAAAAGCGATGTCATGATTTTCATCACATTTTTATTTATTATTACTTTTGTCAATTTCAAGTTATTTCAGTAACAGCTGTTTATTTTTCTTCTTTAATGGGAGGGTATGAATACATTTGAGGACGACTGTACAGAGTAAAGTTTACAATTATGTGTACAGTATCAATCATGGTTCACGTTCTTTTTAATCTCTGAATGGCAGTAGTAGCAATTAGTTGGTCTGTTTTTTCCCTAACATTTTCTGCTGATTTGGTGTGTCTTCTTGGTCACAAGTATTTACAACAGTACATGTAATATATATAAAGAGCAGGGCAGAAGTTGATATGGATCATAACACGAAAATTATTCATCTCTTAACTACAAGATCTAAATGGTAGTATTAGATGTGGGAGGCCTGACTGCTAGAAATCTTTTTATATCATGAATGCAGTTAATTTATATAGAGTTTAATCTACGCTTAATGGAATAAAATTAAGAAAATTGACACGATCAGCCACAACGTTGAAGGAACTAACCATCATCATCATGTTAAAGTGTAATGTTCTGCTGGGGTAACCTTGGTTACCGTCATTCATGCAGGTGTTACTCTGTCATGTACCACCCACCTACACATTGTTGCAGATCAAGCACAATGAGCACCGCTTCATGACCAAAGGAGAAGCCTGAGAAACATTACAAAAGGTGTTGGGCTGGCTTCCAAAACCCCCACATCCCTAATTGAGTTTTTGTAGGATGCACCTGAACTAACCTGAAGCTCCACCAACACAACCCACAGAACCCAGAGAATCTGCTGCCAACATCCCAATGCCCCAATGCCAGCCACCACAGGATGCCCCCAGAGGTCCCATGTCCATCCCCCAACAGATCAGAACTGTTTTGTCACCATGAGAAAGATCTATACAACATAAGTCAGGTGGTTTTAATGTTGTGGCTGATCAGTGTAGAGAAACAAATTTATTTGTTATCACAATTATCACAATAATCTGCATTGATTTTGACAACTCACACAAAAAAAAACCCCACTGTTAATTGTATGTTTTTTTTTTCTTTCCTCATTAAAACCTGCAACATGTCACAGCCACATTTCATATAAAGCAGGTCATGTCACTTGTAAACACTCATGATACTGTAAAGAAGACATCTGCAGTAAAGCGACATTAAACAAATACATCAGTACTGACCAATGCAGAGCAATAAAAAACCTTTTGGAGGCCTAAGTGTAAGAAAAAATGATATAGAATTGTAAAATTACTTTGTATCATTAATGACAAAGAGTTTCAATAATTCCTCATTTAAAACTACCAATATACTTGTGATTTGCCAGCAATAATAGTCATATAATTATTAAAGGATAATATTGTTATTTTCAACCTGAGCCTTTTTGAATAAATGGGGTAAAGGGGGTATTATGTATTTAAAAAAACATCCATCCATCCATCCATTATCTATACACCGCTCAATCCTCACAAGGGTTGCAGGGGGGGCTGGAGCCTATCCCAGCAGACTCAGGGCGAAGGCAGGGGACACCCTGGACAGGTCACCAGTCTATCACAGGGCCACACTTAGAGACAGACAACCAAGCACACTCACATTCACACCTACGGACAATTTAGAATCACCAATTAACCTCAACATGTTTTTGGACCTTGTGGGAGGAAGCCGGAGAACCCGGAGAGAACCCACGGGGAGAACATGCAAACTCCACGCAGAAAGATTCCGGTGCCCCCACCGGGACGCGAACCGGCAACCTTCTTGCTGCGACAGTGCTACCAACTGCGCCACCTTGCAGCCCTTTAAAAAAACAAACAAAAAAAAAAAAAAAAACGAAAACAGAGAATCAAGGCTCAGGCTAAAATGAACTACTTATCCTTTAAAGACACAACAAACAATATAGTCAACACTTGACAGAGAGAGGCACACATTGTGCTGTACATTCAAACAAACATATTTATATCAAGAAACACGAAAATGGCTTGTTCACCACATCCAAGTATTAAACAACTTCAATAAAATGAATAAGCAATAGCTTAAAAACGCATAACACTGACATGCACAACATGTATTTCTTCACATTCTTAAGTAAATACTTTCATGAGGTCTCCTAACATTCAAAACAGCTGGTATGAATAATAATCAAACATAATTATGTTGTGGTTTAATGGCTGGAATTTATCTATGTATATATAGTTGTAAGCATTTATTTTCTTTACTTTCTTTTTATTCTTACTTCTCAATTTTTATGTGACAAATTGCCATGTGTCAGTTAATATGGAATATAAACCACAAAATGCTGAAACAGAATAGCTTTACTGTAGTGTGACTATACAGATGGTCAAAGCATTCATTTTTTTAATATATAATCTTAAACAAAACTATGATCGTGCTTTATTCTCGAAAGCGAGTTGCAGCGACACCCATCAATATATACAGTGAAGGTTTTATTCTCAGCTGTACTAGTGATTTTATCTGTGTCTGGCTGTGCACTGGGTCAGAGGGGACTGATTCCACTTATCAATCCAGCACAGGTTAGTGTGCTGCTTGATGCAATCCTAACGCTTGAGGTGCACACAAGCGGGGACTTATTTTAAGATGCAACAACGGAAAACAGTCTTGAAACCTCAACAGGAGGCAAAACTGACACGCTCTCCGGTTACACATCGTAGAAAGGCATTTAAAGCAATTGACTGCTCTTCACTGTGCAACTTCATTTTTTTAGTTGAAAATGAAAAAGTGAAAGAGACGCTGACACACTAGCCCCTGGTTGGCGAGCTTTCTTTCAGTGAGCTCACTCAGCAGCCTGTTTATTGACAGGCTGCAAATGTATACTGGATTTCACCTCTGGCTTGGCCTTTTGCCAGTCACCAGGAAATGTTTCTTGCAACAGTTATATAACCCAAAGTCAAACTCAGCGCCACATATGGACCCAAACAGAGTTCAATCAGCAGCTATTCCATTGGTGACTCTGCAGTCGCTTGTCTGTGGCTGCAGGGGAAAATGGATGATACACAGTCCATCCTCTGTAGCACATAATGTTCACAGTTAGAACAGATGGAAATGCAAACTAGGCCATAGTTCCATAATAGTAATTCAGTTAGACCTTAACAAACACACTGGCCATGTTTAAATGCTAAAATCACAGCTGAATGTCTGACTGAAGTAAGAGCAGCTTCTTATAGTATTTCATTTATGTAGAATGACACTGATGCAACTAGTTTAACTTCTGTGCATGCTTAATAACCACTTCAGCCTTTATACAGTGCTTCTACATCTAAGCTAAGCGAACACCATGTGCACTGTTTGTATGTACAGTGTAGTATGCATGTGTATACACCTTTATACATGCAAATATTCTGCCGCATGCCTGTCGGGAATTGATCTTCAAGAGAATTCCTTAGGTTGAGCGTTTGGAGCGCTTCCATTTTGCATTTTCACACTGCTGTCGTTGCACCCAGAGATCTCTGTGTGGCGGGATGTCGTGTAACTTCTCTTTCCTTTGGACAAGGAGTGCTTCCTGCCAGGGCCACCTCCAGCAACGCCATCGCCTTCAGCAGGGTCGTAGACCACCACCACGGTGGTATCCATGCGTGACAGCGTGTACATGCTGCTCTGGCGTGTCGGGTGCAGCCGTGTGGAGCGTAGTTCCAGCTCGTCATAACTGGACACCTTGATGAATGGGCACCAACGAAATGCTCGTTTGAAGCCAGCTCGGAACCTGGTTTCCCATCGAGAGGGAGAACAGAAGCAAACACAGACCAGGTTAAAGAACATATGGAAAAGGAAAAAAAGATCAGTTTAATGGGTGTTTTCCAGTTGACAGTCCATTCATATTTTAATATTTTATTTTTGATAAATGCTACAGGATTTCTGCAACATAAAGCATTGCAAACCATGTATAATACACAATACTATACCAAAATGTAGTGATGAAAAGAAGTCCATCGGTGTGGACATGCAATATTTACAGTGATATAAACCTACAGTATTCGAGATCCTGACTGTTACTCTAAATGCACTGACAAACCAAACAACTTCCGCATTTTGTTTTTGGTTGAGTGATGTCTTGATGTGTCACTGAATGAATTAACATCATAGAACAAAAGATCATCTATCCATCATCTATGCACCGCTTAATCCTCACTAGGGTTGTGTGGGGCTGGATTCTATCCCAGCTGACTTAGGAGGAAGGCAGGAGACACCCTGGACAGGTCGCCAGTCTATCACAGGGCTACACTTAGAGACAGACAACCAAGCACACTCACATTCACACCAACGAGCAATTTAGAATCACCAATTAACCTCAACATGTTTTTGGACTGTGTGGGAGGAAGCCGGAGAACCTGGAGAGAACCCGCGCTTCACGGGGAGAACATGCAAACTCCACGCAGAAAGATCCCAGGCGTCCTAACTGGGACGCGAGCCAGGAATCTTCTTGCTATGAGGTGATGGTGCTAACCACCGAGCCACTGTAGAGCCCTTCAAAAGATCATGGACAACACAAAGAAGTACTGCATATATGAGTGCATAAGTGTGTTTAACAATGAAACTCTAAGAAATTCATGAAGAGAAGGTAACAAACATCGTAACAAAACTTGATAAACTTGGGTTTTTAATTGTTTAATTGTTGAAAGCTTATTTGTTTTCTGTCTCTGACCTTATGAGAAAATGACTTAATCCCCAAATTGTTTCTTCTTTCAGAGTTTTGGGAAAACATGTAATGACACCTAATTTAGTAATAACACAATCAATTGTGTAATGGGGATAGTGTTTAAGTGGGGCGGTTTAGTTGTAGTGCTGTGAATCAATAAACTGCATTGATTTCAAAGCCATGATCAGTTCTGCTTATCGGTCCAATCCTTCATTGATTTCCTTATACATTCCTGATCAATTTTGTGTGTGGAAAAAGAGAAGGTCTCCACAGGTTTTCAGTGTCAACTGAGCTGTTATAAATGTCTGAGTCTCACACAGGCTAAAGCAGGTTATGTACTGAGGTAACCTGATAAAACTCTTGTACTGTTGAGAAGGGCTGCAAACCCTTTCACTGCAGATGTTCCGCTTATTATTTACCCTCCCAGTGCAGCAAGCCTGAAAAGGTTCTGCTGGCTGGGAGCTCATGGCCGTGTCGAGCTGACTGTAGCTTGAGTTGGGAAGCAGTGGCCCTTGTGTGGAAAGTTTCAAACACATCCAGGAATTTAAGAAAGAGGTTTCAGCCTATTGATGGTGTTTCCACTCTTGCTTGACTCATTTTATGGACATTATCGCTAGCACTGTTGTGAAATGAAGGCGCACTTTGGACTGTGTCTTCCATTCTGCTGCACTCAGTTTGATGCCAGCAGTACAGAGTGTTCAGAGTTGGAGAAAATATGCCAGCATCAATAAAAGGTGTACAATTCTGAGGAGCTGGACTATTTGGAACCAGCTCTCAGCTTGATTCCCATCCCTATTCAGTTATAACACTTCATTTGTCATTGTTGTGACTCACCTGCTGTTGAGGCAGCAGTAGATGATGGGGTTGTACATGGTGGAGCTCATCGCCAGCCACAGCACTGACAGGTACACCTGCTGGATGTATTTCCACTTGCTCAGACGCTTGTTAAGACCCGTCACAATGAAGTAGATATGGTACGGCAACCAGCAGAGGGCAAAGGTCACCACTACAATGATCATCATCTTCACCACCTGCAGCAGAGGAAGTGAGTGAGGGTGAGAAGCATTCAGTCATCGTTATAACACGCGCATAGGGAGCTGTATGTAAGACAGAGGACATTACGCTGGAAATAAACAAAACCTGCCACTGTTTATAAAAAATGCAGAATATCTAGTGAAGAGAATGTGGTGATTATAGCTTCTTTCAGTTGCTGAATAGCAACCTTTTGGTAGCACCTGGAACTACAGGGAACAGACGGATGCAATACTGCAATGGAAACTAAGAAAGTATGTTCCAATCCCACTTATTTAATAGCGAGTTTCTGATCCAAATCTAAAGGAATACTTTGTCCAATGAGTGCGTATTTCAGAGAACTTCAATCGAAGTACCACTGTAACGTAAAGTCAAAACTGTGTCCTGTGTATACTTCAAGAGATGCGACAGCAGGTAAATTAATTGAATCCAAGAGCCTCTTGGGAACAAAATCCATCCACAAAACTGTGGCTGCTCAGAGGTAGGCTGGAGAGTTATGGTTAGCAGAGACACCACCGGAGACAAAACAGACATCATCGAGTCCCTCCTGAAATCTAAACAGAGGTCCTGGTACCCTTTGTTTTAAGCGCTTGTTGCAAAGAAGTTTATGGTGTCACACCAGCCATACTGTAAACTGCACAAGGTGGCTGTTAAACAGTGGTGAAGTATTTAGTCAGAATTTTAGCTTGATGGTAGCGTGAACGTTAAACGGAGGCTCTCAGGAAGATATGATCCAACTTAAAAGTGAACTTGGAGACCAAAGAAGTTTTTATGCTTGCAGTGTAAATGTTTGCATTGCATGTAATGTGTTCTATTGCCAAAGAATCCTCCAACAGTGTGTTAGAGACATTTAAAGAGAGATGCTTAAGGCAAAGGTCCAATGTTGAATGATGGCGGAACCTTAATTTATGTTATTTAGGTTTCTTGACAAACCCGTTTCACTGTCAGTTGATAATAACCAGCTTGCATCTGAAGGTTTCCTTTTGCAGCACAAGCAACAGCTACCTGAGTAAGACTATGCATCTTATGCCAATGTTTACATCTTAAAGTCTACATTCTATTCAACAAACCTCAAACCCAACAATACATTTGTCCATCTCTCAGTAGCCCATTTTCTCCTACAAAACACATAGACCTTTAAAAAAAAGTGTGGGAAAAAAAAATATTATTAAAGGCACTATAGAATTTTGTAAAGCAGATGGCTTTCCATTTGTCAGGGACTATTTTCAGAAGTGTATTAATACACATTGGATGTTTGAGCAAAGATTCATGACAGCAGGATGGTATATGAGAGATTGACTCAAAATAAATTTCAGTGCTCATATCCATGGCAATGAAATCGCATCTCATGCTGCTTAACAATGATGTTATGATTTTAATAGTTCATGGATATTTTACTGTGGCAGAGAGGAAAACAGCGATCAAGCATTGGCTGCACAGGCAACATACAGTATATTAGCTTAGGATTAATAAATGTGACAGAACAAAGTGCTGGAAGTCTTGTTGCACTGTTTGGTTTCTTGTTAATGCACTCTTTTAAAAGGCTAAGCTGTCGCATTATTATGAAAAATGTCTAGTTTCTCAATAGGCTAAATATGTAAATAGACTTGAGGAAGGAGACACATTTCCCAAGTGCTCTTAGGTCTTGTTTAAACAGTCCAAATTTGGGCTGCTCGAGCCCTCAGTGATATACACTCAAAAATTTTACGTGTATACACGCATGATATTTTATATAAGTCTGGATTCTAAAACATTTAAAGTATGCATTTGTTTCAACAGTCTTTAAGACATACTGTTTTGGCATACACATGTAGAACATATGCATAGAATGAGTGAATTATTCGCAATTTTCTGCAAAATACTCATAACTTCTGTGTAAACATTCCATCCCTCTCCATAGATGCTGGCACTCAGACCTGTTCCCAAACTTTTCAGCCCCGAATCCCCAAAAGTAACAGTGCCAGAGACTTGTGACCTCCAGAGGTGGATGAAGCATACAAATGTTTTGTGCAGCCTTGCAGTAAAAGGCCAATCCAAACACAGGCATAGCACAAAAAACCACAACGGCCCAACAACCATAATATTATTTTATAGTTGTACAGCCTAGTAGCAGAATAAATCAGTCAAAGTAATCTCAGTGGATAAACTGCAGTACTGAGTACATACAGTATGTAGAAGCTGCAGACACACTGTTCTTTAAAAAAATCTTTTGTAACAATTATAGCTGGAATATGCTATTGGTGGTTTTGGAAATGAACATGTATCATTCCTCAAGTGTTTACAGTAACGTACAGTCTATGGTGGCCAACATTCTGTGCGTGATGTGAAAGACAAACTCCAGACTCTTCTTCACACAGCTACACAACATTCAAAAGACATCCTGTATAGTACAGAATGTTTAAAAGAAAAAAACGGCTAGATTCAAATTGTTATATGCTTAGTGATAACAAGAAGGAAGCAGATGAAGACGAAAGGGTTAAGGACCAATTTAAAATGGTAAAATTGGTCCTTTGCTGAATTAGTTTTTAAGCCAAACTGAGGCTATCAGATTGGGAAATGTAAAACAGAGGACCCATTGGAGCTCATCATGCTCTGGAATATTCATCTTCTCATTAGAAGTCTCCCAGAGTCAGTATAAAGAGGCAAAAAAATGAATTAATGTGTATCCAGAATTGTTAAAAACCCAGGGGCAGTATTTTGAGTAACCTCTAGGTTATGCAGGAGTCCAAACAGATAAAAACAAGAGTTCACAGCATCGTGAAGCGTGCTGTTGTTTTCAAAGACAGCTGCAGTCTGATGTCAGTGGTTTATTTTATATTTGGTAATAAACAACTACCAAGGTATCAATCAATACAAATCAAATTTGGACAAATAAAATTGGGGGACAATAAAAGAAAGCTGGGACTCATCAGCATGAGCATGGAAATTAATATTGTGTTTCTAAATATTTCACTTGCATCGAATTCAATATTGTGTTCAGGACCATACATGCATAGGGGCAGAATTGCAGCATGTAACAGGTGGAAGACAAACTTGTAAGAACAAATCCAATTAAGACCCCATCTGTGACACCAAGAAAGCCTTTAAAGAAGCTGCAGTCCAATGTAAGTGGTTTCTTTTAAATTTGATAGTATCCAGCAACGTTATCAAGTTGAAACTCAGTGTAGATGAAATTGGGATCAGTAGGACTAAACACTAGTTTTTGGGGGACAGAAAGCTGGGAATCATCAGCACAGGCATGGAAATTAACAGTGAGTTTAGGTCACAGATGTGTGACAGTGGCAGCCTATAAACGGCTGGATGACGAACTTCTACCAGAAAGATAAGAACTAATCCAATTAAGAGCTCTATCTGTGACACCAAGTCATTATTCAAGATGGCCAATTAAAATAGAAGAGATGACAGCAATGAAAACAGAGTTCAAATACAAAAATAGAACAGCAGTCAGTCAGCTAGGAACAGTAATCAATGGTCTCTCTCATATCGGCTGATTTAGTGCTATGAACACAAAAAAAAGCCAGATTTGAGTCTTCCATAAACACAGTTGTTGTTTATGAAGTAAATATAGTAACTGTTCTAAAATCTTTCTATTTTTAAAAATAACAACTAAAAATGACACTGTAAGATGGAGATAATGTGAGGCCTTAAAATGTGAAAAAAAAGAGGATACCGTGATAACAGTGTTGACGGACTGATTCATTCAAAGTGGGTGAACGTTTACAGTTCTTATCAGAGATCTCAGTTCTGTGGGCTGTACATCTTTTCAGAGTTTAAGCCTAATCCTCTTAAGCCCCTGCTTATGAATTGATTAAGAAACTCACATTTTGAACTGATGGTTTTACCTAAAAGTCTCGAAACGTGGCTGTTAGGATTGTATCAAGTCACACTTGTTCACTATAGCAACAATACAAATATTCCGACAAAGCACCGACTGACAACTATATTTCCATTTGTACAGGCTTTACAAAAGGTGCTACAACATATTCAATGTATGTTGTTGAACTGCGACAAAGCCACAAAAATTTGAAATTGACTATTGCGTAACTCTTTCTCATATTAAAAGCTCTGTGGCACAAGAAAGTGCTTTTCTGAAGTAGTCATCAGCCAGAGCTTTCTATATCATGCAGGTCATCTGGTGTTGACCTTTTAAAAATATCAAGGTTCAACTCCAAAACTGGAGAAGTACTTTTTTTTATTTTTATGCTCCTGTGAACTGGAACTGATTGCCAGATGATCTGAAATGTGCTCTGTCAGTTCCTTTGCTGCTAAACATGAAACTGTTGTACTGAATATGACATAAACCAATGATGTCTGTAGTAATAACTTTTGTTTCTTTGTGTATTCAGACATGCTTTGTTGTTATGTCTCAGTACATCCTGAGCAAATAAATTGAACGAGTTGCTTCAAGTCTTAAATTTGATTCAATATGTTTTCCAATTTAAACAACAACCTACTTTTTTGTCTATTCCTTCTAGATCAACACATTGATGTGATGATGCTGATGAAGGTCTGAATAGGTTTTAAAGTGACTTTAAACTTGTATGTTTTGTTGACCCATCATTCCACCCCAACCTCCTCCCTTGTTATGTTGCACTCCTTCTCTCATCGATGCTATGGCTGCTTGAATATTGCGTCACTTAATTGTAAACGTGTTTTTTTGGGTGAACTTGCTAACGCAGACAAGCTTTCAGAGAGTTCGAGCCTTCAACAGCCGTAGGAAATTATTACAATTTACATCTCCAATTGTTACAAAACTCAGCCACTCGCGTGCTGACGAGGACCACAGGGCGGGATCACATTACACCTGTTTTAAAGTCGCTGCATTGGCTCCCCGTCCGCTTCAGGATCGATTTTAAGGTTCTTTTATTCATGTTTAAGTGTCTTAACGGCCTTGCGCCAAGCTATTTATCTGACCTGCTTTTACCGTATCGACCCTCACGGATCCTGAGGTCCTCCGGCAGTAGCCTTCTATCCATTCCAGCAGCAAGAACTAGAACCC